CTCATTTCACTTTCCACAGTTATCGCTCATGCATTATTGATCAAGAGGTACTACGGGCCTTGAAGTGCACAATGTGTGCGGGAGAAACTTTTAATTTCTTTTATTTACGGCTTTGTGCTCAGAGCGCTGCCCTTTCCGCCCTCTTCCAGAACGGTGCAACTTTTCCTCCTTAAGTATTTGTTTTATTAAGCCTTATATTCCGATAATAAATTGTTGCTGTCATTACTTATTCATGGCACTTAGTGTTTAAGAAACTCTTTGTACTTGCAAGGAGTGTTTCTGAGTCCATGATGCAGTTGGTCCATTTAGGAAATAATAACTAAAGTTAATAATCAATGCCCGTGAAAAATCTAGGTGAAGTCAGTGTTAGGAATGGGAGTGAAGAACTGGCACGTTTACGGATTTCTGATTGTAAGGATGTCTACGAATGTCTTCAGGAGAGGACAGCATCGCACACAAGGCACGAAATTGAGGGATTTGTGTTTTATAGCTAAACATCAAACTTTGCTGCGACATCCCCGCCGCTAGCACAGTGGCTCAACAACGCTAAGCGAGCGCCTTTCCTTGGAGGGGCCGGGGAGCAGGTGGGGTTGAGGATGGGCACAAAGACATGCCAGGAGATCCGGGCAGCGGCCATGCATGAAGCGTGCACACATCATCGCATCATTGTACTCGTCTGCCTACTGCTTTATTTATCAGAGGAGAAAGATAACAGTAAGGCTCGGCCCGCACACTCAAGCTGAGGACTCAAATGCTTCTACTGTTATTGGAGTCAAATTTATTCGTACACTTATGACCGTCCTGAAATGTTGACTAGTCCAGCACATCTCCCCCTCTGCTTTGTATCCAAATATGTCAACGTGCCATTTTTTTTTTGTACACCCCGACAGTGAACCGAACAAATAAAATATATGTTTGTGCCATTTTGAGGCGAGATAGGCAAGACGCCATCTCGGCACAGAAAACTGTGAATGTATCAAGCCAGGCATACACTGTACGGTTTTACAAGTGTTCATTTCAGAGTCCAGCTCACAGCGAGTTAATCGCCTGCAACAGAGCCAAAAGCGATAGTCAGCGCTAACAAGTGAAGTATTGTTCCACTTAAGTCTTGTAGTTGTCAGTAGCACACTTTCAAATTGTTCCAGATTGCCAGACTAAATCAGGAAGGTGTTGCCACGGCCGGTCAGTCAAGAATGCTAATGCTAATGAATATACAACTTTGCTTCAACTGTACGAGATCACGGTTGTCGCCGAAATACATGAAATTTATCACCGTTTGTACAACTTTGTATACACTTGTACACTACACCGCTCACAACATCCAGCCAGTCTTGAAATCGGACCGCATGAGAAGAACAACATCCATGCTTCTCTGTTTCCTACTGCTTATCCTGATCCGGGTGAGCTGGATTCTATCCAAGGTCACCAGTTAGTCGGTGGCCATATTAATGATCATATTTACACCTGTGGGCAATTTAGCGAATCTAAAAAGCAAGATGTTGAAATGTACCATAAAGTCTCATCAACCCTTGATAGCGAAAACCAAAAAAAGTCGGCCATTTTAGATGAATTCCATGGCCCATGGCTTTGACAACCTCCTACTTGGGAATTCACCTTAATACTGTAGGCTCCATTCAGAACCAACTATCCCAGACAGATGCGTCTCATCAACCCTTGATAGCGAAAACCAAAAAAAGGTCGGCCATTTTCATTTCAGATGTGCGAATCGCCAAAGACCAATGTATAACATCTACAAGCATCCTTAAATGGCGAAAACCCTTCACAAAAGCAAATTCTAGAGTTTCAAAAGTCTTTCTTCATCTTTTCAATAATGAGCAAAAGTTTCTTTTTTTAGCTACCTCTTTGTGGTGCTACAACAAAAGTGTGTCCAGTGTTTTCCCGGCATTTTGCAAGGGCCACAATGCACTTCTGTGTGTGCGTGTGTGTGTCCGTTAAGATGTGAGGGGGGTGATGTCATGGCTGGCAGAACCTGAGTCCTGCTGTGTTTGCGAAGCCGAGACATGAGCGGGACAACATTGTTCCTTTTCAATTCACCCGCTCGCTTCCAGTCTGAGGCTCCGGTCGAGTGAATCAAAGTATAATTGGCGTATTTCCCATGTCGGACAGCTACAGTGTGGTCATTGAAGGGATGCAAATGACATTATTTAGGAGGCATTCACCGAAATAAACTCCTGGCTAATTAGTGCACTTTGTTTTGCTTGTGTGACCAACTGTGTGTACCGTGCAGCTGCTCTCTCGTGGGCTTCAAGGAGGTGGTCTGTTAACTGTGCTCGGGTTCATTCAGAGGGCTAACTTCTTTGCAACGATTCACGTGTACACTATACAGACAAAAGCATTCAAAACCGCTTTTTGGTCAATTAATTTGTCAATCACAGATCGGCCTAGACTCCCAGTTACTCTTGAATGTTAACTGTCCATCTCAACCAAGACAGGCCGGGCATTGTTTTCTTGTTCGAAACCTTTTGCATACCACGTACCATTAAAAAAAACAGATTCTCTCTTTTAAATAAATACTACAGAAACCACCTGTTATTTTCACTACTGGTCTCTAGCTAATGACGCACACGGTGAATTATTGCGGATATTGCGTCCTGGTGAGGAAATCCACTGATTTTCTGTGGACTATAGCACAGAATTAGCTCCCTATGGACAAGTGCCCCATTTTGCAGTGCAATTTTCATTTCCGTAATGTTGTTATGCATATTTAAGGAAGCAGGTGTCTCCATTTGTAGACGTAATTGCAAGACTGTGCGGGGCTCCAACTGTAGCTAAAATCAACGAGCAAACCAACAGCTGATTTAATACAGGACATCCACTGCAGTTTGCTGTGTTCTCCATGTGTGGATTAAAAAAAAAATGATTGAGGAGAGAAAGGTTTCTTGTCCAAACGTACGCTTAGAGAGGCTCCTTTCATTAGCTATGCTAATCTGCCTGACACGTGACCCCTGCTGCAGCTCGCTGGCTCCCCATTCGACGTTGGTTTTCTCTTCTCCAAATGCCAGGGTCCTCTCCTCTTCTTCTTCTTAAGTTTCCGGATCATTGGCTTCGGTTGTTGCTTGTTCTCATAGCCACTGACAGAAACATGATGTGACTTGAGAATTCAAGACTCTTCCGGATGGATTGCTGTATATCTGACTCTACAGATACATTCTACACAGATGATTGTTTCAATCATTGACCTGACAGTTTGGTCCTGAAGGCACAGAGTAAAACTTTAAATAATACAGACAATATAGCTACTTTCTTCAATTTTAAATGTTTTGATCATTCATAGGTTTGACCCAGTAGGTTAACAATTTCAGCGATATTTAATGAATCGTGTTTTGGAGCATGTCTGAGGCAAAATTTAAAGCGAAATACTGCTCACACTTGGCTGCAACCAGCAGGGGCGCTGTTTGATTCACATCCCTAGTTTTGTATAGAAGAAGAATGTGCTAACAGAACAGGAAATTGGAATTTGAACTTCTGTACATCATAAAGACAGTACAGCATTCTGCACCTGGCATAGAAACAGGAGCCCAGATCATTTAGTTAGCAAGGGTATCTGCAAACGATGTCCACATATAATATTTTAATCACTGATTTATTGTCGTGGAATTGAGTGATCATCATTTTCATCTGGAGGCCATTGAGGCAAAGTGGACACAGGGGCTTTGGAGATTTACTCTTAGCGAGTTTACTGTCTAAAGAGGATCAGGCTTTTTTTTTTTTACATTTTATAGATTGAAAATTTTATTTTGGTTTTAAATAAAGTGGCCCATCATACACAATTTTAGTTGTTTATTGAGATACTCCCTGGCTTCATTATCTCCATAAAGTCTCCTCCATTTCTGCTGTTTGACAAAACAGCAGCTGCTGCAATCAGCTAGCTAGCCTTCTAAGCTAACAATCATCATCCTTAATTACTGTTTTATTTTTCCTTATTTGTTTAACATCAAATTCATACAGCGGCAACTGGCTCTAATTTGGGAGGCTCCTATTAGAGCATAATTACCTCATGTTAGATGATGTCATTTACTCACAGATGATGGTGTTGAGAATGGCTAACCTCTGTCAATTAATATGATATACGAGTCGATGAGGGATATCGGAGGAATATTTGCTATAACTCGGTTAGTCAAGAGGTAATGATTTGAAATTCCCTCGCCTGGCTTGAATGACGACGCCTATTTTTAGTGGTGTTTCTTACAGGTGTGATTATTTCTTTATTGATTTGTCAGCATCTCGGGGAATAGTTTTCGGCCTGAAATATATCCACCGGCACTGATAATCTGTCCCATTGGCACTCATGAGAGCGAAAGACCACAAGTAGATATTGGGAAGTGTGGACATGAGTTAAGATGTTCCCTTGGGTAAAACTGTTCATGGTATTGTGTGTTTTCAAGGAAGCAGGTGCAATATGATGCAATTCACTCCAATTCCAAGAAGATTCATTCTAATTGCTTGATCAGTTTGGTGATGAATCCAAACTGCAGCCTGATTTTGGCTACTACAAGATTTGGCAGAGACTTGCGACAACCTTGACGTGGCACGGATACAATTTGAGACCCAAGAGAGGGTGAAATAATCAAAATTGACATTTTAGGCCGTAATTATCGGCACCATTTGTAACTAGACAGAAATATGAAAGGAAACCTTTTTGTTTCTTTTTTTTTTCCGCCAGATTGTCATGACTTTTAAAGCGATGCATCACGGCTCTATCTCGAATTATATCCGCCAAACATTAAAAAAAAATAAAAAATGGACTATATTGTAGACAATTATGTTTATTGTTTGACGCCCACATCCCACAAAGTATACTTGGAAAAATCACAGTAGGAAGCAAAATTACAACACTCACTTGCAACTCTATAAAAATGAGCAGGTATTCCGGTTTTCTCTGCATACCCTGCTGTTTTTCTCAGTGGAATCCACTCGTGTTGGAGCTCTCTCTCATCTGTCTCTCCCCCCACCCCCTCACCCCTTTTTTTTTCTTTCAGGCTGCAAAGCGAGGACAGGGATGAAGATGAGACCTCCCGGCCCTCTGCTGATTCTGCTCTATGTCACACTGTCAAAGTGTCTAAAGGTGGTCTCCAAGAGAGGCTCAGGTATTTAACAATCCGTCTCCACGGCGACAACCCTGCGCTGTGCTTGCATACTGCTATGTTCTAATGAGCCCATGCGCAACTGTCTCGACTTTAGACGGGTGGTGTTATTCAAAGCTTTTGAATATAAATAGCATGACTCATATCAGGGATTATTATGCGGAATGTGCCGCTTGATTGCTGTGTTTTTCAAGCTGTGGACGTTCAAGCTTCAGCTGCTTTTGTTTCTTAGCCCTTGTGCCCCTTTGCGTGTCGGCACCCGCGGATTCAACTATGTATGGATTTTGAGGGTTTTTTTTCAATATTGGTTGTAATTTATATGCTGATTTTCATTATTCGCAGGGCAGCCCGGTTCACTTTGTATTTTGGCGCCGCTTGCATTCCAATACAGTGGCGCCTTGTCTTATGAGCACCCCAACTTGCGAGTTTTTTTGGAGTCACGCACACTTGCTTGGTCGATTTATTCATTTATTTCGTTTTAGCTTGATGTCGTGAGCCAAAATTGAAGTTGCTGTCTTGCATCAGATACAACACCGCTTGAGTGAAGTGGAAAAAATAAAAAGGAAAGCCACAGTGTTGGATGCATTTACAGATGTTTATTGAACCAAACAAACAATCAAACATGCAAATTCATAGACCGACTGGCCACTTTGCTGAGGTCACTTCCTTTAAAGGCACAAATACAGCTGAAGTCCAAGTACCGCTGTGCCGCTCTTCGGAATTTGGAATTAAAGTGGTTTGGTGACATTCAACCCTCGGACTTGTGTCCAGAGTCAGCCTAATGTCTCCATTTGCGATGGTCCCTGCCAACGTTGTCCTCTGCATACACAATTACAATGAAGTGCGTGCATGCCCGTGTGTGCGGATGTGTGCGACATAAGCCTTTTCAAGCGGGATTTTGGCCTTCACTCTTGATTAAAACTTTGATTGAGTTATATATCCTTGCAGTTAATTATGTCCCCATTTAATTAGCTGACAAATTTATGAAAATATACAAGATAAAGCGGAGGCTTTTGACACAAGCCAAAGCACACATTTTAATCAGTCAATTCCAGGAATGTTTTTGAAGGTTTATTTATTTTTTTCACCTAAAACGTCTTGATGGAATGTTTCTACATATTTTAAATTACATTGCTTAAATTAGCTCACCCACTTACACGATCATGATAAGGATTATAACTATGCCATAAAATGAATCATAGCCTGACCAAATTTTCAGTTAAAGCTGTCAATGACACATTTGGAAATGGCAATAGACTGCACAATATAGTTTTAATAGATATTATTATCTCAATCCACGCTTCTCCATTATTCTCATTTTTATTGTGAGAACGCTCCAGGCAACGTCTTTTTGAATCCTACAAAAGACCATGTTTTCCTCCAAATTCCTATTAAAAGGAATATGATTCTTATTAATGGGAATATCTTTTCATTGAAATTTTTGGCACGGCTTCTTAACCCTTTCAGGGACAGCGGTTACTACAGTGGGCAGCTTACAGGGTGCATGAAAGGGTTTAAGACACATCCATGATATCATTTACAGATAGTTGATAGGTGTTGCATTAATGTTTTGTATATTACTGGCCTTCATGGCAACAAATTAAAGGCATTGGGTTTGTATAGTCAAATTGTCAGGTGTGGAAAAGTGACATTAGCTCGACCCGCCTCAATCTGCAGTGAGTGACAGCTCCCAAATGATCCAATTTGGGAGCGACTGGGTCGCCAGGGGTTAACGTCAAGTCATTTTGTTTTCTAAATGCCAGCAAATTGAGTATCAATTGGTAACAAATGCAAAGGTCACAAGAGAAAATGGGGAGCAAAAACCTAACTGAAAATGAGAGGTTTTGGTTTAGGTTTTTTTGTTTGTTTGTTTTTTAGCTCTTTGAGAAGACCTAAACTCGGTGAAGCAGCATGTGGCTTATTGCTTGAGGTCATTTTTGATGCTCCCTTTTCCAAATTAAAGTGAAGAATTTTATGTTGGTGGCCACAAGGTGACTCGTGTTCAGTGCTCACTTCTATCTATCTATCTATCTATCTATCTATCTATCTATCTATCTATCTATCTATCTATCTATCTATCTATCTATCTATCTATCTATCTATCTATCTATCTATCTATCTATCTATCTATCTATCTATCTATCTATCTATCTATCTATCTATCTATCTATCTATCTATCTATCTATCTATCTATCTATCTATCTATCTATCTATCTATCTATCTATCTATCTATCTAT